CCAGGCGACCAGTATATTCCAGGTACTGTCAGGCAGAGCAGTGTGTTACACCACTTAGTAAGACCCATTCCCAACCAGCAGGTCTCAGGGGAGCTCAGAGCACTCAGCAGCTCTGCTGTCCTATTGCTGTGGCATGGGACAGCCCATGTTCCCCACCTGCACCCAGCAGACAGTCCTGTGGCCACAACAGCCTGACCCAAAGCCTCGTGCTCACAAGGTTCACAGTCTGAGTGAAGTGAGTGGAGCCAGTTATGCCTCACTGGAGAAGCACACACTGCTGCAAACCATTGCTTCAAGTACCACCCAACAGCTTCGTCAGGGTAGGATGTTGTTCACTTTGCAACATCTGTATGCAACCAGTAAGGCTCTGGAGATACAAGAGGCCAGTTCTAGGAAGGAAAAAAGCCGACCAAGAGGTCCTGAGGCAGCTGTCATTCATGTCCACTGCTGCGCCCAGTATTCCCACCACAGGGATAGCACCTGCAGGCTGTGTAGTGACTCCAGGGTGACACAGGGATCCATCAGGAAGCCACAGTACAAACCGCAGCATAACTGCTCAAGCCGTGTTCTGCAGAGCCAATGGTTTATACTGATGATCCATCTCATTTTCAGATGTTCTCAAGACTGGCATTTACTGAGAGGAAATGATGCTCTTGCTGAGATGCCTTCCCTCATTCTCAAGCTGTAGAAATTTCACCTACCTCACTTCTGTTACAGCTACTTAGGTCTTAGCCATCCACTGCTTTACCTGCTGTAAAGGACAAAAGCTTAGGCTAATCTCTACTGCAGACAGTCTGGTAGCTCACACACCAGCCCACATCACAAGCACCCTCATTTGGAGCAGTAAATTACTGTGAGCTGCACTCCACCATTTCATTTTTACCTGCAAGCAGCTCTCCTGTTCCACCTCCCCACCTCTCAAACCGTATTTTGGGAAGCACAGGTGCAATGTGCCTTTGAAGATACAAGCTGTTTATAGTCATGATGCCTTCCAGAATCAGATTGTGCAGGGCTCTCAGCTGCATCAAACTACATGTTCTGAGCCACCTATTTCACCATGGAGGTCCCTTAAAAGCCAACCAACTGCTATGATATCTAAAGCCCTAATTTAAAACAAAAGTACTATTTCACTGCAGCAAAAATTAGAAGACACAGGACTAATTTAACACTAGGGGCTAAAGTTCTCTTTACGAGGAATCTTCCAGCTGCTTGGCAGTGCAGCAGGTATTGAAGGTACTGAATGCCCAGCTGGAGTGCAGGCCTAAGGACAACTCTCACCATGGGGGGCACAGTGGGCACACTTGTGACAGCTTCCACAGAACACCAGCACACACAGAACCAGACAGCTCCGCCCAACACCACATTTGTCCATTCTGGTGTGCTCAAATCACATGAAAAAGCTACAATAATTTAGTCACTCACAGCACCTGACCCATCACATTTCACATATGGGAAATAAGGAACTGCAGCAATGAGAACAAGTTGTAATCTGCAAATAACCAGACAGGCTCAAAGATGGCCAAGGTCACAGCAGCCTGCTCTTGTCTCTCGCTGACCAGAACAAGTTCTGCTATCTATTTACCATCAGCAAGTAATGCTCACATAGCACACAGGACTGCTCCATGTCAATTGTTTTCACATCAAACTAGGCTGGACAGTGCAGAACCTGAACATGTTTACTAGAAACATGTCTTGGAACTACAAGCTCCACAAGAATGTGATCTTTAGATATAGCATGAGTCAGACATGATTCACTGTGCTAATTAACACTGATCCAGGACAATTTTAGAGTTTTACACTGCTTGTCCAGATTTAGCTCCTTACTTCAAAATCAGGGTTTTTTTTTTTAACAACTACCATCAGAACATCTGTGATGCAACAGATCTGTTACAAAAGCTACACAGCACTGCAAGTTTTAGTTTATCCTATGTTGAATCTTCTGCCATATTGCCTTAAAAATACAAACTGCTTCACTGAACAGCTACATCTAAGAAAAAATTTCCCATCAGCAGTATCTATAACCTGTTGTCCAGCACCTGAAAACATCACTAGCCCTGGCAAGAGTACCTCCATGGCTCAGACCTGCTGGTATTGCGACATCACCGAAGTCGGGACAGATCTCTCAGCTCATTGAATCCAGGACTACTTGACAGATTCTGCATCAAGGACTTCTCAACAAACTGGCTGCAACACGACAGATACCAAACCTTCAACACAGCTTAGGCACTGACTTTGCATTCCTCTACTCAAACCTTCCCCTGGCAGTCCCACAGCACCATGCTGCCATGCTACAGCTTCTAAGAAAGGCTTCTCTGCTGTTTCAGACATGCCAGCACCACTCCAAATACCTGTTAAAGCGCTGACTCAAGCCTGCATCCCTCACTGATGTTTCAGCTGAAGCACACTCACACGTGGTGTCTGAAGCCACACAGCCATGTTCTTTTGCTTCCAAAATCCATTCTGCAAGAGGAAACCAGCAACTCCTTCCTTGGAAGGAAAGCTCACTATTTAGGACCATTTTGCAAAATGCAGTGAACTGTTGACTATTTTTTCAACAAGTAACTAGGGCTTGGTTTTTTCCTCCATTGTCTTCAGTAGCCAAGAGGAAGGTAGGTCAGCAGTCCCAACTCGGGCTCCTACAGCATTTCAACCATTGAGTTTTCAGGAAAATTTTTACATGTCGAACATGACTACAATGTCAGAAATCCAAGGTGGCAGGCCACTGACTGCCCTCAGCATGGACATCTGCATCCCACCACCAGGTACCTAACCAAGCTTTTGTTTTATCAAAAATTCAGGTCACAAATATGGCTGGTGTGGAACCAGTCCATGGTGCCCACATCAGCATGGCTAGACAGCTGCCTCCTGAACACTAGTTTTAATTCACTGTCCACTTGGCTCTTTGCAGGATTTCATCTTCCACACTCATCAATCAAGACCAGCTTCCCAAAATCCATCCTGCAGACCCAGCCACCATTCCAGAGGCCATATTAACAAAATGAGATCCCAAACACCTCAACAGCACTTACACAGCTTGAGCTACAACCAATTCCATACTAGAAGGGAGCCAAAGACCAGTAAGCATGTTCACTCACATCTGTGGAGACATGAGCTAAGCCTTCAGAAGGGAAAGATAGATTGGTTCCTAATTGTTGTATTCCAAATTACTGTGACACTTGCATTTAAGGGTAAAAACAGCTGAAGCCTTCCCCATGTTAGATCCCAAAGGCAACAGCAGCTCTGCACCCACCAGAGACCAGGAAATACTGTGCAGGAATAGCAGTCACCTTCTGTAGGAGGCTTAACAAGGCTCCGAGAGACAATACTTTAAAGGATGGTCTTTCTGGTATAAACCAGCATTTATGGTCCCTACATCTGTGCTTCTTCAGTGGGGAGAGCAGTGCCGCAGGATGACCCAATTTATACCGCACTGAGTTCGCTGCCTGGAGACGCAGAGGGAGGGCCATGAAGCAGGGCTTCCCCCGTGCCCCAGCATCCCCGTCCCACGGGGTAGCTCAGGAGCCCGTCCATTGCCTGCAGCGGCATTAATGTCTGTGCCAGGGCAGGCAGAGCCGCAGGGACTCCGCGGGGAGCAGCGTCGGGGGCACGACACGCCAGGAGCCCCGCGGGGAGCGCGGCCCGGGGGGACGGCCCGGAGGAACGGGCGGGGAGCGCGGCCCGGGGGGACAGCCCGGAGGAACGGGCGGGGAGCGCGGCCCGGGGGGACAGCCCGGAGGAACGGGCGGGGAGCGCGGCCCGGGGGGACAGCCCGGAGGAACGGGCGGGGAGCGCGGCCCGGGGGGACAGCCCGGAGGAACGGGCGGGGAGCGCGGCCCGGGGGACAGCCCGGAGGAACGGGCGGGGAGCGCGGCCCGGGGGGACGGCCCGGAGGACCGGGCGGGGAGCGCGGCCCGGGGGGACAGCCCGGAGGAACGGGCGGGGAGCGCGGCCCGGGGGGACAGCCCGGAGGAACGGGCGGGGAGCGCGGCCCGGGGGGACGGGCGGGGAGCGCGGCTCGGGCGGCGCCGCTGCAGTCACGTGGCCCCAGGGGCTCCGCGGACGGTGACGTCACCGGCACGGACCCTCCGCTGCCCCGAGAGCCCGGATGGAACGGGGGGGGGGGGGGGGGTAGGGGGGGGGGGGTGCCCCCAGGCCCGAAGAATTCCAAATTCCAGCCCCCGCCGCCGATGGCGCCCCGCCGAGGCAGGGGAGTGACGGGGAAAAGGAGGCCGCTTCCCCCACACCGTGCTCCCCCTCCCCCTCCTCCCCACCCTCTTCCCGGTCCCTCCCATTGCCGGTCGGTGCTCACCGCTGAAGACCATGGCGGCCGAAGCGCCCATCACGGCGAAGAAGGAGGCGTACTCGGGGCTGGCGCCGGAGGACATGGCTGCGAGAGCCGGGCCGAGCCGAGGCGCCGCTAGAGTGGGAGCGCGAAAGGGCGGGGGAAAGGCGGAAAGCTCCGCCGCGGTGCCGGTCCTCGGCGAGCAATGCTCGGCCACAAAATGGCGGAGGCGCGGCGGGAGCGGGCGGGGCGGGGGAGCCGGGGCGCAGGCGGGTGGCGGCGGGCCCGGGCGCTGAAGCTCCGTCCCGGCGGGAGTGGCGGCAGCGAGCGCTCTGCGCCCTAAATACGGCCTCCGCAGGACAAAATGGCGGCGAGCCGCCCGTCACGTGATCGCACCCACCGCCCCCGCCCACCGGCGCACACCACGCGCGCGGCAGGGGGGACGCCCGCTCTGCGCTCCTCGCTCCTTCTCCGCGCGCCCCGGTCCCGTTCCCGCGGCACGGCCGCCGGCGAGGCCCGCGGCATCCGGGCTGCCCCGCGGGCTCCCAGGCCGCAGCGGCGGCGCTTGGCTGCGCCGGCAGTGCGGCTCGGATGCCCTCCCCTCGCTCCCCCCTCCGTGCCGCCTGGTTGAGCCCGTCCTGCCCGGCGGCCGCGGTCCGCTGAGCGTGATTCAGCTTCATTAGCATAAGGGGCGTGCCCCGCCCCGGCCCCGCCCGCGCGGCGGCGGCCCTGCCTGGAGCTGGTGGCGTTCGTGTCGTGTCCGTGCGTCCGGGCCCTGTCCCTGTGTCCTGTCCCCGTGTCGTGTCGTGTCCCTGACGTGCCGCCGGGGCCGTGTCCCCGTTACGTGACCCCAGGACTTGGCTTCCACCCTGTATCCCCCGTGTCCTTGTGCCGTGTTCCAGTGCCGCGTCCCCCATGATACATTCCATTGCCATGTGCCGTGTTCCAAGTGCCATATCTTGCGTCCCATGTGCCATGACCCTGGTACCGTGTTCTGTGCAGCACATCCCGTGTGCCATGTGCCACCGGCCCAGTGCCTTGCCTGCATGCTGTGCCCCCTTTCCTGTCAGGACCCGTCACCTGAGCTGCGGTGACCTGTTGTGAACTTCCCACGAGGCATCAGCTGTGCACATGGGTCTTGCTGGCTTGGGGTCCCCTCTACGGCCTTCCAGCCCCTGCACTCCACATCCACCGAAGGTCCAGTACCAGTAGCATCTGTTGGAGTTCTACTCCCATCCCACCCATCGATCCTGCTCCCTTGGATGTGACAAGCAGCCTCTGGCCCATCCTTTTCCCTGGGCCGGACGCGAGTGGGTGTGCTGGATCTGAACTGTGGTATCATCCCTCCATAGGCTCTGCCACCTGCTCTCTTCTGCAAGCACTCCCCTGAGCCAACCCCATCCCAAAACATCCCAGGGGGATGCTTCTGCCATCCTGGAAGGGTAATTCATGCCATTCTGTTACCTAGAATTTCAGGGGTCATTAACAGTTTCCACTGCCACAAATCTGGCTGAGCTTTCCGTGTCCTGAAACTCCTTAATTACTTAAGGGCCACCGGCTTTTTTCCCCCGTGTTGCCACTTTCCTGGCCACCTCAGCCTTGCTGGAACCCACAGGGAAGCAGAGGACAGGATTTACTTTGGCAAATTCCTTGCTGCTGCTTGAGCACAAAGAGGGCCCTGGCACGTCAGTGGGCAGAGGTGGCTGGCATGTGCCGGGGACTGGCAGCAGGGCATGCTGGTTCTGAGAGGGAGACTGTCACCAGGTCTTCATGGGGTCATCCAGGGCATGGCCCATGGCAGAGGTTGGCTGGAGGCACAGAGAGGAGCAGTGGGCTGGGGATCAGAGCCACAGAGGTAGACCCTGTCCTAAGCCCTGGCAGAGGTGGGTGCAGGGGCTGTGCGTCCCATGTGTGGAGCACACTGCCACTGTCACCACCACCACTGCCACCAGCACTGTCACCGACAGCACCACCACTGCCACCACTGCCACCAGCATCCCCACCGCCCCATCATAACTGCCACTAGCAGTGATGTCTGTGCCAGGGCAGGCAGAGCCGCAGGGACTCCGCGGGGAGCCAGCACCGGGGGCACGACACCCCAGCAGCCCCGCGGGGACAGCCCGGCCCGGGGGGCCCGGAGGAACGGGCTGGGAGGGCGTCATCATCACTGCCACCAGCAGCGCCACTCCCCGCATTGCTGCTTTTCCACCCTGGGACACGTTCTTTTTCAGTGGGGTCATCGTTGTCATCGCTCTGAGGTGGTGGCTATCACTCCTAGCAGTGTTTCCAGCGGGTCAAATTAACCTCTCACTATCACAGTGTTATGAACGCAACAGCCTTGCTGGGACAATTCGGCTTGGGCTAAGTACTGACATTGAAACGTTAATTAGCTAATTGCTCCTGGGAATCACCTACAACCCCACCCACACTAGGACCGGGATGCAAAATAATCCAGTGGAATCATGGGAGGGGGTTTTGGGGATGAAAACACCCCTAAAATGGAAAAGATGGGCACAGTGGAGGGGGCTGGATGGGTGTGCTGGTTGGGGAAAAGGGAACCACATCTCTAATCTGTGTTTGACCTGTCACCATACCCTGCAGAGTACCAGACTGGACTGGGCTGTGGGAAGCAGGAGCAAAGGACACACACTTCACGGGGTTATCAAGCGGGAAGGAGAGAGACAGCTGCTGCTGGGCATCGGCAGCAGGCTCTGCACATCCCCTCACCCTTCCCTACCAGTGTGCCAGGGGGAAAGGAGAGAGGACAGTCTGCTGGGACTTCAGATACGGACTGCACACCTCTTCACCTCCAGCTACCAGTGTGCCACAGAGACTCCAGGGACAGACTCTGCAGCCTTCTCCCCCTTCGGCTAGCGGAAAAGCTACAACAGCGGGGGCGAGCTCATTGTCCAGCCCCCTGCCGAGCTGACTTTTTAATAAAGAGCTGAACATTAATAAAGGCATAGACCCTGTGCATTTCAATTGGGCGATCCCTGCACCTAGGGTCCAGAGCAATTGGTCACTGAGCAAATTTCTACCCCTCAGGCCACTGGCAGCATCAGCAGTTTGTTCACCAGATTTGGGCTGGTCAGGGGAGATGGTGCCTCATCCCATCCTGGTGCTCAGGTCTGTGCCCTCCTGGTGCTCACCTGGGCTGGGTCTGGCCATGCTGCCGCCAGCCCTCGCTTGGAGTGGGCATCTCTCCCAACACTGTGCCCAGCCTGGATGCAGTGAGGGGACCTTGCAAGGTGCAGAGCCCAGACAGAGAGTAACATGAGCATCCTGGCTGGCAGGGATGAGCCCAGATACCTGCCCCATGGAATTTATCCGTGGGTGATGGGTGCTGTTGTGTTGTTGGGCAAGAGCTTCAAAGCCCCAAGAGCACCAACAGACTGGAGCAACAATATTTGAAGCAGTGACCCAGGGCCAGGGTGGACTTTAAAGGCCCCTAAAAGATGCTGTTCACCCTGTGTCTGCACCCGCTGCCTCCCTGTGCCTCTGGCGGGTCCCGGCGGGCAGCTCTGGCTGCCGGTGGAGCAGCTCCGTGGTGCACACGCCGTGATGCTGCCGTCTCCTCCTTCTGCACCAGCTCCGCGCCCGCCGCAGCCCCGGCCCTGCTGCCCCTCCTGGCTGGCGGCTTCCCACAGATCATCCGGCCCGTCCCCGCTCGCCGGCGAACACAGAGCCCCTTGTAGCTGGGAGCTCACGAGGTGCGGCGTGGGGACGCTTTGGGGATGCCGTGTCTCCGGAGAGGCCGAGCAGCGGGGCTCCGAGGGCCGAGCTTCCCTCCCTCCACCTTTGGAGCTGCGGGATGCTGAGAGTCTCCCCCTGCATTATGGTCCAGCACCTTGAGCCAAGCCCTCTTCTCCTTCCCTCTCCTCCTCCCATGCTCTTCATTTGGGACTCACTCAATGTCTCTGGGTCTCAGTTCTCCAGCACTAAAGGTCCAATAAATTGTTTGAGTTTCACCTGAAATTGCTGATTCACGGTAAGGATTTTTTTTAAGCTCTTGGCAACAAAATTTTCTTTCAAAACATTGCATTTTACATTTTCCCTGCGGCATGTATTTATTCAGCCTCCTCCTAGCCAGGTGGAGCCATGGAGGTCATGGTGGAGTCAATGTGGCTCCCCCTGCACATCCCTGATGCCAGTACTCTTAAGCGTTTGCACAGAGGGAAGGTCTGGGTGCTGGAAACGAGAGCATCGACCTCCTTTTACCCACCGGGACTGCCCAGCCCTCCTCACTCTCTCCAGACCCCTCTGGACTGACCAGGCCAATGGAGGGACCGTGTGCCAAGCATCCTCCTGAGATGCCCGTGAAGCCACTCTGGTGGCCCAGATGTGTGTGTGGTCGGTGGAGCGAGTGGACACAAGGCTGCACGAAGCCCAGGTGGGCCATAGGAGGGGTAGGACTAATTGGATACTAGTGACAACAGCACATGTGGCCTTGCCTGGCTCCCTGCCATGCCCGGTATGTTGCAGCAGGTACCCAAGAGTAACTTAAGTCCTTCCCACAACAGTGCTGTTTGAAAGCACTGTGCATTCCCACGGTGCATCCCCACCACCAGCAGCACTGCTGCTGCAGCTGCGCCAGCAGGCCTGGGAGCAATGGCATCCTGGGCTGGGGGCTCTCAGTCAAACCTGGCTCTGTTCTGGCCCCACGGTTGCTGCACGCAGCCAGCCCTCCCCAAGGTGCCACTGCCCCCCTGCCCCCCTCTCCGCGGGGACACTAAGGCACTCATGCCAGTTCTGCTTCTGCCTTGTGGAGATGCAGGGGCATTTCTTCCTCAGGGAAAGGGCAACAGAAGGAGGATCAAAATTCAATGCAAACTGGGAGGTGAACACAACATCAAAGGCAAAGGGCCAGAGCCTGGATGCAGAACAACCCAAATGAATTCCTGTTCCCACAGCAACCAGCACTCAGCCCCTCGCCCAGCCAGGCGCTCGCCAGGCTGGCACCAATGTGCCCACGTTTGCCAGGGGGACATGAATGTGGCATCTCCAGTGCTGCCTTTTCCTTTTGAGATGGATTCACCACATGGCACCACACCAAACCAAACACAGCCTAAGAGGAATTTTGGGTTGCCTGTTCCCATGACAAGGAAGGAGCAGAAGGATGAAGTGGGCTTTCCAGCAGGTGCAGACAAGAGGTGCCACCACCTTTTGAGGGGTATTTTCTGAGTGGCCTCATGGCAGATGACTCTACTGCTGTCCTGGGCCTTGTCTGTGCATGGACCAAACACCCTGGAGAGAAATTTCAGAGGGCTCCAGCTTCTATCAGCTGCTTCCAGTGAGCAGGAGCTGGACACTGTCTGCTCCATGCTACATATGGGACTCCAGGGCTGCTGACCTGCCCTGACCCAACTGGTTTTTGGCAAGTTAGAGAGCTGTTTGCCAGGGGATCTATTTCTAAAAGCCATGGCAATGCTGGTGGTTTTGCCCATGACATAAAGCAAGGTGGAAGGAGTCTGTGAAGACAGCTGGGAGCACCCTGCCCCTGCAGGACAGGTCTGGGTACAGAGATGCCAGTATGGAATTGCATTGTTGCAGGGCAGGCAGGGAATGCTCTGACCCCCTGGGTACCATGAGGGATTGTGTTAAGGTGTTAAAAATGCAGCTCAGCTCAGGACAAGCCCAGGTGAGATTTCATTCTGGAGGTCTGATAGACTCAGTGGAGCAGAGCTGGTGCTGGGATTGAGAATGAGAAATGCAGGACTGGCAGTGGATGCATTGCTCTCGGTCTTGGCAGCAAGTGCTGGCCAGCCACGGAGCAAACCCTGTGGAGCATTTCCTCATTCAGTGTCTCCTGCAGTGTATAACCAAAATCACAGGGCAGGAGTCACGAGCCTTGGGGGCCCATCCCCCAGCTCCTCCTCCCTCCCTGAGTCAGGACTGTGGGCCATTTGCAAAAGGGGTTTCTCTTGCTCTATTTGAGTCTTAATTAACTGATGCCCACCCTGAGCTGTAAACTCTTACCTGGGATTTCCCTGCTGCTGGACTTCCCGATGAGGCACTCCTATCCTATCCTATCCTATCCTATCCTATCCTATCCTATCCTATCCTATCCTATCCTATCCTATCCTATCCTATCCTATCCTATCCTATCCTATCCTATCCTATCCTATCCTATCCTATCCTATCCTATCCTATCCTATCCTATCCTATCCTATCCTATCCTATCCTATCCTATCCTATCCTATCCTATCCTATCCTATCCTATCCTATCCTATCCTATCCTATCCTATCCTATCATCTTATCCTATCCTATCCCCATCTACCCTGATCTAATCTCTTTCCCTTCTCATCTCTCTGTCCGGGACTTTCCTATCCTATGTAAACCCTCTGATCTTCCTCTTTTCCACACCATGCTTCTGTGTGAATGCAGCTGGGAAAATATCCATGTTCCTACAGTTTTTTCAGTTCCTGGGAATGGTGTGGAGAGAAGCTGGGTTTATTTCTGCCATCCTTTTCCTGAAATGCCCTATCCATGACTGCACTGCTGGTCTTCATCCTTCCTTCCACGGGGCATCCATGCTGGCTCCCAGCACTCAGCTGACAGTAGGGATCAGCCAGGGCTTCCCACAAGGAGGGTCTGCCCGTTGTTTGAAAATAGCATTTATTTGCTCTGGGTTGCCATAGTTACTGGTGGAAGTCATGTGGCTCCTGCTGTTGGGTTGGGAGATTCTCTCCTGTGGCATCACTGGCTGGTTCCACCTTCACTCATGGAAAAGGCAGGAATTTCTTGGGCATTGGGTGGGCTCTGCATGGGATGCTCCATTTCCCCCATCACCTCTCAGCAACCCACTGGCTGCACGTGCAGTGCTGTTGTGGATTTTCAGTCCCCACACACAGGGTTTGTATTTCTAGGAGGAGCCAATGTGGTTTTCTCAGCACAGAGCCTGTCCCTACACTGCATCTCAGAGCTCTTGGAAGCAGACACTGAGAGGAAGCACACCAACCTCCCACCATATCCCACCCCTGGTTTTTGGGAAGCTGGTTTGCAAATGGGGGCCTGGAACAGCTGACATATCCCGGAGAGGCAACTTTGGAGGCATGACGCTTGGTGAGACGGGCATGCAGTGTGGGAGGGATGCTTGGTGGCCGGGAGCCACATGTGGGCTGTGCTCCAGGGCTCTCTGCAGAGACACTCAGAGAAGTACAAACCCAGTGCTCGGGTTAGCCTGCTACTGGAGCCTTCCAGCCATGGGTTTTTCCTGCCAGAGGCTTGTGACTGCAGGCAGTATTTGTTATCTTCTCACAGCCATGGCAGACATTACCCCACACAGAGAGCCTGGAGCCAGCCTGGGATGCCACTGAGACTTTCCTGCCTGTGGATATTCTCCTGCTGCCCTGGTGTCACTGAAACTGTGGGAAAAACAAAAACCCTCCAACATTTTTATGTTAGAGAGTCAAGGCATAATTTTATTATATGGCCAGGATGTACCACAGAAATCATCTCATCCACACATAGCTTGTGTGTGCAGAGAGAATCATTCCATGACACATGCTTTTACAAGATTTCCCCCAAACCTCATACAGCCAAAACCCATAGAGATGCAGAGTTTCAAAGTTCATTGGTCTAGATTTGAGCAACCCCCAGTATTCAGTTTCCCATTGGATCCGAATCTCATCACCTCTGATGTAAATTAGATCTTCATTCTTCGAGTTTTTATAAGTCCTTTCCGGAGGAGATGTCTCCAACTCTGCCCGAGGCAGAGTCTGGGGTAGATGTTGGTAGATGGCCGCTGATGCTCTGTTGGTGGCCTTTTATCTTTCTGGGGATCTATGGGCTCCTCCCAGTCTGTTGGTACATTAAGTCTGTTAGGAAAATTAATCCACAGACATCAGAGGTTTATGTCTAAAAAGGAGACAGAGAAGTCCTTTTACTTTATTCTAATAAAGGGAGAGGCCATGAGGCATTCCCCTGGGGTGTCTCCAAATTTTGGAGGATACAG